TTCTTGTGAGCCCATTGGCTCACATTAGCTTTTTCACCCATATATATATATATATATATGATTGTCTATAAAGAGACTATTTATCTTTGTATATGAAGGTCACAATTAATTTTTATTCATTAGATGTCAAATTGGATGGCTTGGGATGAGTCACGAAGTCCGATTTTTTTTTAAAAAAAGATTTTGTGTCAATTCAATGAAATTCTTGCAGCCACCAATTTGAAATTTAAGGGACAAGAATGATTATAACCTCCATGTAGAAAAAATAACGGATCTATTTGTCGCAATCTCATAAAAAATTGTTATGGTAGGTGGACTAAAGACTAAAGATGTTTTCTCAATGACTAATTCCGCATGAAGTTTTATATAGTATTTCTTTATGCCATATTAAACAGGAGTGAATCCACTGCGACAAGATACTGCTCAGGGTAGTTAATGAGGTAGATTGCATCACATCCAATGGGTATATAAATCTAAGTAAGTCATACTGTTCAAGGTACTTAATGAGGTAGATTACATCACATCCAATGGGTATATAAATTTGAGTAAGTCTCTCAAGCATATATTTTAATCGGTTGCTCACCTCTTTCATTGCAAAAACTACCTATGTAGGAGGGGTCCAATAAAGTGGTTTGGTATTCTCATCTCTTTCACGTCTCTCTTCCCCCTTTATAAAAAAGAAAAGAAAGAAGGCTCTATTTCTCTCTGTCTAGTATTTCTTCCAAGAAGTCACATAACGGCTTTGTTTCTCTCATCTTTTTCTATTTCTACCACTATCTCTCAATAAGAGAGAGAGAGTGTATGTGTGCACGCGTGTGTTAAAATTGCATCCAACTATGAAATGCAGTTAAAGTGAGGCACCTCCCTCTAAAATTAATAAAAGATAAAAGGTGGGGCTAGACCAGTCTCTTTCTGGAAACAACCAGTCATTCCCAATATATAGTAGGAACAAGGCCGATCTCACCAATTCACAATCTACATTAGATGATTCCAATCTAAATCGACTTGTTTAAAACAACTTACCCAACCAAGACCATGCATCTTTTAGGCCGGAATACTATCTTAGGAGGGGGAAATGGTTAACGTAGGGAGACAAGTGCCCACGCACATAAAAAATGTAGCAAATACCCACCCCGCCATGCCATCGCATGTTTATTTCTTCCAAAGATGGACCCAGGAATTCGTCAGGCTTTGAATACTATTGATTTTCTAGTCCATCTCGGACCATAATTTATCATGGAACGCATGTATGTGGAAACATTTTACCTGAGAAAAAACTGCACATTAGTGTCATATCAAATACTTTGAAGCAACGAATTAAAAATCGCCGTAGTGCTTGGGCTGATTCTTTCTTAGAATCGGCTTAGTTAAGAATTAATCCTAATTCTATTAAAATGGCCAGCCCTTTTATATTGGAAACTCATGTCAACGCCCTACTCCTCAACTTACCTTGTGATTTCTTCAAATCTTAGAATTTTATTTATTTTTAGATAACGTGTGAGTTCCATAGTGTAAGTTCCACTCCGCATCTCTCTCTCTCTATGTGAATTCTTCATGACTTCTATAATGCAAATCTACTCCACTTCTCTCTTTCAAACTCTCACACCTACCCTTTCTTCCAAAATGTATACACTCACAGAAAATATTAGTCTCTTTACTCGTATATTTGTTTACCAATTTCTGGTAAAACAATAAAAAACCATAATAATGTATTTTCTTTTTTTGAAATTTTATACGACTGGATTGGCCCAAACTAGTTGGTTGCAATCCCGACCAGTTCGGTCTCGGTCTGAGATTTCAAACATTGGGCATAGGCCCAAATAGGAGGGCCCCCCCCCCCCCCCCGAAGGCGGAAAAAATAATATAAAAGGAATAACATATTAGTAAGAAGCCAAAAAAGAAACTAATGTCCTCTAAATCACCATTATTTCATCTAAACTACCATTATTCAGTAAATTCCCTAAAGAAAAAAGTTTGATTTTATATAAACCCCTTTTTTTAAAACTTTTTTCCGAATTGCCTCTTTTTCAAATATTGAAGTTCGAAATTAGTTCCTAACAATAACTTTGGACTGAAGGTTCGATATTGGTTTTTATAAATTTTTATTCACCTTGGATTTTCAAAGTCCAAAGTTATTGTTCCACGTGAACTTTGGACTTTTAAAGTTGACACTTGACACCTTTTTAATTGCCGAAATTTATATTCATAAAAAAATATATATATTAAATGTTTTTTCCTAAATTTTTTTCCAAAGAACTTTAAAGGTCTCAAATATGATTATGAGTTCGACCTTCAAAGTCCGAAATGAGAACAATTTTGAAAAAAGGGCATGAGGCAAAATCAAACTTTTTTGTGGGGCTTTTATAATAATCCATTATTCTTTAAGGGCAATTTAACTTGAATTTTTAGAGAGAAAAAAAAAACCTAATAAAATTTCAAGCTATAAATTTTCTTGTATACGATTTGGATATTTCTAGCGATTATTGGTGGGTGCTCTTTGCCATAATCCCTATACTTTAATTATTTTTTTATAAATTTTTAAAATATCCCTAACTATCAATTATTATTTTTAAATCCATTTTTTTATATTTGGTTAAGATTTTTTAAGGTTATTTTTAATTTTATTTTACTTTTATTACATGTTTTATTTTTGAGAAATTATCACTAATATACTTTAATTTTAAAAAAACCGCAAAAAAAACCCCAACTTCTCAAAACCTCGTCCACATCTTTTTTCTCAATTTTTGAGATTTTTTGGATGAAAATACCCTTTATAGTAATATTTCTACCGTAATAGTATGAAGATACATTACGGTACTTTCAGTACCATAATGAACAGTACGGTAATTTAAATACCGTAAAGAACATTACGGTACTTTAATTACCGTAATAAATAAAAATATTCGTTACGGCATTCTTAATACTTTAATGCTTTGAAGAGCTTTAAATCGAAGTTAATATCAGTGTTACCTCTCTCCTCTCATATGCCGAATTGCAACTAAGGGACACATTTTTTTCGTAAAATCCCAAAAATTTCTCTCTAATATTTTATTTTCGAATAAATACATAGAAAATTAAAATAAATTTGAATTTTTTTCTTTTTTTTTTTTGCTGAATACATATATCGTATACAGATTACCCATCACCATGTAGGTATTTTACAGAGAAAAAAAATGGTTCTACAAATTCTTAGCACGAGAAGAGACTTTGGTCTCCTAAACGAAAAATACAGATTTAAGATTAATTATCTTAAGAAAAAAATAAATTCACGATTGAAATTTATAAAACAAATTTCATTAAAACCAACCAGAACTTTAATTCCCTGTGCTCACCTCTGTAATTGGAGTCTCCACAGTGGGCTTGGATGCAGGCTTAATGGTGACCTCTGTGGCAGCATCAGCAGTAGAAAATTCAGTGTCGTTCTCGTTGCTCAGGCATCCATACTGAACTGGAACTTGCTCAGTAGCGATGTACCTGCAAATCCAATAACAAGCACACCAACAATACGATTAATCCCATAACCACAAAACAATCCCATATCAAGGGGAAAAATACATTAAATCAAACAAGTATTCTATCTTATTATTTGAAAAGGGTCTCAATCGATTTCGATGGGCCAACAAACACAAATTTGCTCTTAGTCCTCTGGGTCAGGAAGGGGCTAATCTTCCTGTTAAAGGCGAGGTACCACCATGGAGCATTGATTTGGATAGGCCAGTAAGGACAAATTTGCTCTTGGTCCTCTAGGTCAAGAAGGGGCTGATCATCCTGTTAACGGCGAGGTACCACCATGGAGCATTAATAAAAACCTGCACACCAACAATTGGTCTTTAAAATTATGGAAACCCAACAAAAAATGGCGTAGAAGACCAGAGTCCTTTTCTCTCTTTAGGAATTTGTGGAATAATTTTTGTTCTCCGCAAAATACCCACATGGTGATGGATAATATGTATACGGTATATATTAAGAAAAAAAAAAACTCAAATTTGTTTAAAATTTGCTCTGTATTTATTCGAAAATGAAATATTAGAAAGAAATTTTTGATATTTAACGGAAAAAATGTGTCATTTGAAATTGATTTTGTAAAACGCAGGAGAAGAGAGATAGCTCTGATATTAACTTCAGTTTGAAGCTTTTCAAAGCATTACGGTACTAAGAATACCGTGAAGAGTATGTTTATATATTACGGTAATTAAAGTATTGTAATGTTCTTTATAATATTTAAATTACTGTAATGTTCATTACGACACTCGAAGTATCGTAATATATTATGGTATAAACGACTACCGTAAATGATATTTTCGTCTAAAAAATCCCAAAAATTGGGAAAAAATATATGGGCGAAGTTTTGAGAAGTTGGAGTTTTTGGTACGATTTTTTTAAAATTAAGATATATTAACATTAATTTCTTTTTATTTGTATTATTTTATTACTTTTAAATTTATCTAGAGCTTTGGGCCACGTCCAGGACTTAGCCAAGTAATTCGCCTCGCCAATGGACTTGTCCCCTATGCCGAGGCAACTTCTTACCAAAAAAAAACAAAAACAAAAAAATAAAATAAAAGAAAAGAACAAGAAGAAGAGTTAGAAGTAGAATTAGAATTGATAATGCTCTTCTATTCCGAGAAAGGCAAAAATACTTGGTGAATTACCCATATCTTCAAACTTCAAACTATTCTCATGAATATGAGAAACTATTTATCGAGGGTGTTAAAATGCAGCGGAATTTATTGGAGACGTTAAGCTTCAAAGTTTTACATACGTACATGCATGTTCGATGTATCTCATACATGTCATACGTATGAAACTAATCTTCATGGAAAGTAAGACCAACTACAAGGGTTGGTTATTAGTAAGTACCCATTAAGCTTGAAAACTCCTGAATATACAAGTGCATGGCAGATGTACCATGCATTTTATATATGCATGGATATAAAACTTGAAGAACAGGTTTTGTTAGTAACAGAGTCTGTCATGGCAACACCTTCCAAAGGAAAAACATGGCTTCTCAAACATCCATATACCATTCCATATCTCTTAGCTTGCGAAAGAAATTCTCCACTCGGTATCTATTCTCCACAATCACAACACGCGGGGAGCAAGAACACTACCCCTCGATCAAGCACGCCCCGCTTATCAAGCTTGGCTTCAAAACTGATGTATATAGCTGCAACAGATTGATATATGCATATTCCAATGCCAGAGACATCGTCTCAGCGACGAGAGTGTTTGAGGAAATGCCCCATAGGGACATCATTTCATATAATACTATCATATCATGCTATGTTCGGAATGCGTGCTATGAAGAAGCTATCAAGCTTTTTAGAAGAATGCATGCCATGGACATGGGTTTGGATCGGTTCACCATGGCTGCAATTCTCAAGGCATGCAACCATGCATCATTTTGTTTGGATCATGCACACCAATTATATGCAGGTTCTTGGAAGAATGGGTTACATACCGATGTCTCTCTATGCAATGCCATGATTAGCCTCTTCTCTCAGTTGGGCGCATTAGAAGAAGCTCGGCGGGTCTTCAATGAAATGCCCGGACGAGACCTAGTCACCTGGAATGCCATTATTGATGGACATTCTCAATATGAGTCATGCATCAATGCCATGGGATATTTTCAACTGATGAAAAGGAATGGAATGAGACCAGATGTGTACACATTTGTCAGCGTCATGTCCTCGCTTGATGGAATTGCATCCATGGATTTTGGCATCCAAGTTCATGGCTGTATAGAGAAAAGCCCTCTTTGTACTGATACCTCCATAGGGAATTCGTTGATTGGCTTCTATACAAGGACTAAAGAAATTGATGAGGCCCGAAAGCTTTTCGAGCTTATTCCAAGTAAAGATATGGTATCTTGGAATGCTCTTATTGCAGGTTATTCTCAAAATGGGATCTCTGAAGAGGCGTGGGAGTTGTTTTGTTGGTTGAGACGGGAGGCCATGCAGCCCAACAGCTCAACCTATACAATGATTCTCTGTTCTTGTGCAGTTTCACCAGAGATGAGTGAGGGGAATCAAGTGCATGCGCTCTTAGAGAAATCTGGTTTCGATTATGATATATTTGTAGGAACTGCACTGATTGACTTCTATGCAAAGTGTGGAACAATAGAAGATGCAAGAGAATGTTTTGAAAGAATGCCCCAAGTTAATTTAATCTCGTTTAATACCCTCATTTCAGGATATTCTCAAAATGGTCGATGCAAAGAGGCATTGGATTTATTCTCCAAAATGCAAGAATTAGGTACGAAGCCTGATAGGTTTACTTTTTCTGGTCTTTTGAATTGTTTCATTGACCGAGACTTGCTCAAAGAAGGTGAGCAAGTGCACTGCCAAGTAATTAAATTGGATATTGATTCAGATGCTTGTGTTGCTGATGCTCTGGTTAGCATGTATGCTAATTTCCAGGAGATGGATAATGCTCAAAAAGTTTTTGATTCCATGCTTTACCCTGATATTGTATCATGGAATTCTATGATTTCTAAATATGTTTTATTTGGTTACATGGAAGACTCATATAGGCTGTTTGCGAGAATGAGGCAGGTCCTGAGGGACTTTGATGAGTTTACTCTCTCAAGCCTGCTTAAGGCATCTTTAACGTTAGAGCAGGGAAGAATGCTTCACGCTTTGGTTATAGTCTCAGGTTTGGTACAGGATGAGGTTGTTATTTCTGATTTGATCCATCTCTATACACGAAACAAGTGCATAGAAGATGCTCTAATGGTGTATAACACGATTTCTGACAGGAACGAGATGGTTTGGAACTCATTTCTAATCAGCTCTGCTCAAATCGGGGCCAGAGAGGAGTGTATCAAAGTTTATAGCCAAGGGCTTGTGCAAGAAATGAGGCCCAGAGAATTTGCTTTAGGATGCATCATTAGGACATGTGGTAGGTTACCATCAGTTAATGCAGGCAAACAGATACATACCCATATCATCAAATTTGGAATCGATATCACAGGTTATGCTGGAATAGCTCTAAGAGACATGTATAGCTCTTGTGGATGCATGGACTCTGCCAAAAAGGTCCATGATGCCGCATCCAACAAAGACATCCATGCATGCACTGAAATGATGGTTGGATATGCTCGTCGTGGACTCTTTAGGGAAGCTTGGGCAATTTACCCTCAGCTTGAGGAAGCATTTGAACAAATGGATGAGCAAGCCATCAAAGATATCCTTCGAGTTGCTGCAAGCGTAGCATCAATCAGTCTTGGAAAAAAGCTTCATGGGTTTGTGTTAAGACATGGGTATGAGACAGACCATCTTGTAACGAGCGGCCTAATCAGCATGTACTCAAAGTGTGGGTCAATAAGAGATGCAGCTGCCCTTTTTGAGCATGCATCAGACATGAATATCGTCACATGCAATGCCATGATAGCTGGCTATTCTAGGAATGGTTGTTCTCAGCAAGCAATAGAATTGTTTGAGCAAATGAAGAACATAGGTGTTGAGCCAAACGACATTTCTTTTGTAGGTGTTCTCTCAGCATGCTGTCGAAGAGCCCTTTTCGATCACGGATTAAAGTACTTTGATAGTATGGTCAGGGTTCATGGTATTGTTCCCAGAGCAGTTCATTATGCATGCATGGTGGATCTGTTGGCGAGGGCAAGGCACCTTGATATGGCAAGAAATTTTATAGAAAGAATGCCTATTGCTCCTGATGAGTCAGTGTGGCGCACCATGTTAGGTGCCAGTAGAATGCATGGTGACATAAATCTAGCAGAACAAGCATCAAGAAATCTACTAGAGCTTAACCCTAGAAGTTCTTCAACCTATGTTCTACTATCAAATGTATATGCTTCAGCTGGAAGGTGGGATGACGTTGCTAGAGTCAGAGGAGAGATGAAATCAAAGGGAATAAGAAAGGAACCAGGGAGTAGTTCAATAGAGTACAGAGGAGAGGTTCATGTGTTCTTTTCAGATGATGGGGTTCACCCATTGTTGGATGAAATACATTTAAAATTGGTGGAAGTTATTGGCATGGTGAGAGAGACCGGGTATATCCCTGACACAAGGTTTTCACTTCAGGAGCTAGACGAGGATCAAAAAGAGCATAGCCTGCTCCACCACAGTGAGAAATTGGCACTAGCTTTTGGCCTTCTAAAAATGCCCACAAGAACCCCAATTCGAATAATAAATAACCTCCGAGTTTGTGGAGATTGCCATACAGCATTTAAATGCATCTCCAAGATACTTAACCGAGAAGTGATCTTGCGAGATACAAGCCAATTTCATCATTTCCAATCTGGTTCTTGTTCTTGTGGAGACTATTGGTGACTGGGATCAATTTGTCCAAGGAATGGTAGACTGTCCTGGAATATGAATTAAGATTAGGACACAAGTACAGATAAAACAAAGCACAGCCGAAATCTGAACTTCAAGAAAAAATCTGTTGTGTATCCATGAGGCTGATGGGCTCTGCGTTTTGCACGACTGTTGGACGTCATCTAAACAGATGTTGTAGAATTGTATCACAAGCGTAATAAGATCACTTATTCAATCACTTGCGACTGATAGTAAACTCCAAATTTGATCAACAGGACTGGAGTTTCAACTGGAAAAGGGTCTGGTCCAACTAGTTGAATTAGTTCATACAATAATTCCAAGAAAATGAAATAAGGCGTCCTTTGGCAGAGTTTCCAGTTGAACAGGCAAATTCAAAACGGTACTTTTAGCAAAGGCAGGTTATTTTATGAACCCGGACCAGTTTTGGTCCAATCCATAGTCCAACCTGTTGACCCAGGCTATCCCAGTCTAGTTTCTAAAACATTGATTAGTTGATCAGAGAAATGAAATTTTGCATAATTAGAAGCTGGGAATTTACGATAAAGTTGAACCTATATTTCTGACCGAGTTTGGCTGGTATATCCAGACTTAGGAGTCATGATTCCACAATCGCACCGAGTAAGGTTACAGTGCAGTACTTCCAACAAAATTCATGATTAAGTCCCATGTAAGGAACCATTCCCACTTAGACCCACAAAAAAGCATGTACAAAGGCATGTAGATAACAACTACATGGCTAATCCACAAAATTTAAAATCAAATGAGCTCAGGGAAACAGCATATCAAATATAGCCATTTCCATTTGATCTTTTTAACTGATTGAAAAAAGAAGGAAACTAGAAAATGACCCTGGGAAGACGATGCTTCTGTTTCAATACGATGCATTCGGACTTTAATGGACAACCCCTTAAGGAAACAGTATCAAGGCAAGTTTCCTATCTCACTGCCGCGGCTTATGTAGACGAGGCCTGTTACAAAATAACCTCCCATTCGCTTTGACAAATGCCATTATACTCAGGCTAACACCAGCCCACACAACAGACAGTAATAAGTGCCGAGCATCATTTCGAGCTGCAAAAACCCAAAAATAAAATCAAAACCACGATTTACTAAGTATTAACACCAATTATAAGAATTCACACAGCAACTCAAATTTCACAATGGTTAAAAATCATAAAGCTAGTTTGATACCCACATAATGCAAATATCTTAGTGAACAGAATAAAAAAAGATAGAATAATTTATATACAAATAATGTTGTGATTTGCCTCTGGGACATTAAGTTGTACTTGTATCATGTACACAAGGATCACTCAGCATCTCAAGTTATAGGAAGACTTCATGTATATACCATAAAAAAAGGCACACAATTGACAATTGATTAGTTCCCAAAATTCACAATTGTTTATAAATTTGACCAGGAATGTGTAATGTGATAATTCTATTTTATGGCCGTCACGTGCTTCTCACTTTGACTCTAGAGCACATTTAGTTCTATAAAATGAGAAAAAAGAAAATTAGGATTCCTTTGACATCAATTTCATGTTTAGGTACATATCTATATATAGAATGTCTTATTTCTTAAAAGAATATTCTATTTTTCTAGCATATATATATATATATATGGGGGAAATGATTTCATGCAAAGGTTGTATAGTAATATAATGCAACGACACTTTTAGAAAACCATGTTTGTAGCATTTATATCACCCCAAAAATTGCACATACCCTCACGTCATCCCAATACTCAATTTTCAAAAAAATAAAACTCAATTTGCATCATAGATATGGTTAAAATGAATCCCCTCCAACATTGGATCTAGACCATCCGTTTTGTGAATTTCAAGATCTAGGCCTTTAAGAACTCCAAACCATTGTTTTTCTTTTTCAACATTGTTCATCCAATGCGAACAAAGCTATCTAAAAATTTTGAAAAGAGAAAAATCTTTCTAAGGCCTAAATCAAAGCAACTTAAAAAAAAGGATGACTTATATTGATTGGGCTAAAACAACACTTTCTAGGGTTCATTTAAAAATTTTGTTTTTTTGTGCTTTGTTCAATGGAAAGAGTGTACATTTAAAAATTTGGGATCAAACAAATGGCACGAACATGATTTTTGAAGATTGTTGCATTATATTACT